ACTGGGAACAGTATAGTGAGTGCCGACGTTCCGGCGGCCATGAAATCATTGGCCAAATCTATTAAAGATCCGCAAAGTTTTAAACAAAAATCTCCTGAAGAAGCCCTCGAATGGCTCGAAAACAATAGCGAAGAGACGGGAGAACTGTATAAACAATTTATGGAAAATTACGGTTTCAGAGGTTATAAAGAATGGGATCTAATGACCACCACTTGGTCTAGAAATAGGTTGCTGTTAGTGACAACTCTTCAGACAATGGTTCCGTTGAAAGAAAGTCAAAGTCCATCGGTTCTGACCAAAGATGAACTCATATCTAGAATCAAAAGTCCGATTACAAGAAAGCAGAAATATCTGCTGAAGAACTGGATATTACCGGCGTGTCAGCGATCGGTGGCCGATAGGGAGGCCTCCAAACAGTTTGACATCAAATGTATGGACAAATTCAGACAATTGTTGTACAAAATGGGAGAAATGATGTGTTATAGAGAGGGACGGATTCCAGATCCGGATCTCATCTTTTATTTAACATTACATGAATTGAATGTTTTGACTCAAATAAGAGATCCAAAAATTGTTATGAAAGCCAAACAACGGAAAAAGATTTATCCAAAACTCGATAAATATATTTACGACGAGATGTCTATCGGGCCTAACATTAGACCGAGAAATGTATGACTTTTCTTAAACATACATATTATTAAATGTAAAGTAGAATTAATTTATGTATAATTTATTTTAATTATTACTGTTATTAAGTATACGGACAAGAAGTCTCAGAGCGAGGCGTATATGAATGGGGAAAATGATGTAATTAAGGGAACCCCTGTTTGCACCGGTAGTATCAAAGCTAAGGCCTGTGTCTGTAAATGCTTTGATGACGCGAAGAATCTAAAGGCAAGAATTTATTAATAAATTTACTGTTTATTATTTATAAAAACCTTTTAACTAATTAATTATATATAAAAAATAATATAAACTAATAGTATTGAATAAATTCAACAACTTTAGCCTGGTGATATATTGGTCACATACAGCACAGACATCGGGTGGAGTCCATACTTACCGATGATAAGCGGAATTGCGACCGAAATTGGAGGACTCGTATCGCACGGTGCGGTCATTGCCCGGGAATACGGTATTCCCTGTTTAGTGGGCGTCGAAAACGCGTGTCATATCATCACTAATGGAGAGATCATTCTTCTGGACGCAGACAACGGATGCATTGTTCTGATGGCCGAACAGGACTCACAAGACTCGACCAATTTATAACTCTTTTTATTAAAAACATTTCCTTTTATATGCTTTTTATTTTTAAAAAATAAAACACATTAAATAAAATTTTTTGTCGTATCGATTGACATAATTCTTGTGACCCATAAACTCGTCGCAGAATTTTACTCAATAAAGAATCCAATAAAGAATTTCATCCAAATTCTTGCGCTTATGTTGTGTTAGTATACTATAGATGGGAGGCCTCTATAATAGCCTTTCACTTGTCATTGTGTTTATGTGCGATATTTGTTTCAATCATTGAGACTTACTGTAAGAATATTGAATTGTTAGCAAATGTATGGCGAAAAGTGCTGAAAGAGTGACAGGAATTGAAATACAAACCTTGAATTGAGACATAAATTATTTATTTCTTTGCAAATCGTAAAATACAGTCAAA